CTTTCATTGCAATGAATAATAAACTGCGGATACATTTAAATATATATTACAGATATACAAGACAGGGTAAGGTAGTCGATGTGCCTAATACCTGACGAGACGAGACGAGGCCTCTGTTTAATTTTCACTCCTCTAATCGCATAAAACTTCTATTTGTATAAAACTCCGTCTTTCGAGAAAGTCGAACTATACATGACAGCACAATATTGGCTCGTTCGGCAACTAATTTCGTTTTTTCTTTTTTCTTCTCAGGAAAAATGAACGACAATTTTTCTATAGTATGTAAGTATTCTATTCAATTATGTATTGACCATTTTTGTCCAATACATTCTCTGGTGGTAGTATGAAACGGAAAAAGTTACGTTAAAACGAAATCACTTCCCGAACAATCCAACAGAAAATCTTCAAACACATTTTTAAGGAAGCTTTGAGCAGACGAACTAGCAAACACGGCGAGACGTCGAAAACTGGTTACTCGAAAAAGGAAACAATATCGGATTGGATTAAGCGAAACCCGGCGAACGTCGAAGCGTTACGCGAGTCCACGGGGCGAACGATTAACCGGAAAATCCCAGGGATCCGTCAGCGGGAACATCCGTCACCGGGAAACCAATTACGATGGAGGTAATAGCCGGCTGGAGGAGGGGCAGGGCAGGACACACGCGCGCGGCGTCCTTTTCAGCCAGTTCTACTCCCGAGCAGCGTTTTCAGCGAAATAAACGTTCTCTCTTCGGCCGTGCGGCGATACGTGACGCAGACGTCGTCTGGTGCAGCGCACCGTTCCAAGCACCAAGGGGGATCCTTGCGTCAGGACGAATTCATAACAGAGTCATAATTGCGGGACGGGACCGGCAGTATGCATAATCCCGTAGTTAGCAGTTCTGCTTAACGATCCGCGAGAAGCAATCCCGACGTACCTGCCACGCTGCAGGATGAAGGCGTCCCAGCAAGCCTCTCTCTTATTGCCTACCCTCTCACCCACTGTCTGCCTCCTCGTCCCTTTTAGCTCTCTTTCTTCCCTCTCTCTTCCGCCTGTCCCCTTTACCCGTCCGCTCCTTTCTCTCCACGCTAGATTTTTCCCAGTCTTTCTTCTTTTTTCTCTACGTGTCACGTCAGTTCATCGATTAAATCAGTTTCCCGACAAGACGCCGTTTAAATTCGAAATTGCCAGTTGTTTCGTGAGCACACGACTTTTCGAATTTTATGCCGACGAGCATAAATATGATTCCTTGGCTCGTTCGAAGTCGATGTCACGCGGACGCGACAGGAGAAACATACCTAGTTTCCGCATGGAAAATTCCTCGATCTCTGTTGCGCCATCCTCGTCTACTTTTGTTCCTGTTCCTCTGTTTCTAATTCTGCCCCACCGTCGTAGGTATTCGCTTCTCTAGGAATACTCTCGCTAGCTCATCCCCCCTAATACACAGGCTGAAATTACACATCTGCGCGCTTTCCTACGTAGTCACGTGTGCAACGTGTGCGGAGATGCAGATGTGCATACGCGGATAGGTAAATAAACACATGTATGAAAGCGGCAGTACGCGCACGTGTAACTATTCACGTGAGTAAATATATGTGGACACGTATACACGCTTAATCACCTGTACGTACAATATTACGCGGGGGGTTACGAGGCGGCCGCGTGCGCCTCGCGGCAGAACACGCCGGAATCCGATGTAATGATGGAACGGATTTCCAGATAAATTTATGAAAGACACGATGCATACGAAATGAATCGCCTGGTTAAATATTTGACGGCCAGGTCAAATGTGTATTTTATCGTGGAAGGATTTACATCGAATTGAATTCGATCAATTTCAACTTCCATTTCGGGTCGAATTACATTTTGAAATCAGGAACACGGTAATTGCAGTGGCATTTTGAAACGAGACACGTTTGCTAAATTCGTCGCTACACGTTGTCGAGCATAGGAAGAGGGAAGAAGCGAAGCGTAAGTAGAATACGGGCCGAGCTGGTTAGACCAACTACCGACTAAAATCTAGACTCTCGAGTCTATCGCAATTTAGCGAGTTTATACCATTGGGCTATGAAAGGTGTAATATACAGCGAAGAGAGAAACTGTACCGTTCACAATGAAAAATTGTCGATAATTTGAACCAACATAACTTCGTACAACGATCCACTCGGTCTCATTTTAAAGCAAAGCAAAGTCTCTGTTTTTGACAGTCAGTTTGTTTGTTTTTTTTTCAAAGATGAATTGTAAAAATTCATCTGTGTGCAAAAACATTAAACAATTTTTTTCGCCACTAAATTCGCCATTATTTTGAACACTAAAGTCCCCCCTTTCAACAACTAACTTTTAAAACTTGCACGATATTTTTTGCCATTTCATCGAACGTTGAATAGAGTTCAACGACGAAAAATCCTAACTCTAATGTTCCAAGTTTAATGAAATGATAAAAGAAAAATTGTACAAAGTGTTCGTTGTAAAAAAGAAAATTTTGCGTGTAAAAAAAGAAAAAGAATTTAAACCTTCAAAACGAGAGAAATTTTTTTAATGTTTTTACACGCGTATAAATTCTTACGATTTTCGAGAAAAAAAAAAAGACACATCCTCACTTTGCCATCCGCTGGTGCAAAATCATCTTCGAAAAGAACGGCTGTCAAAATAAAGGTTTTAAAGTGAGATCAAGTTACATCGGTTTGAATTATCGATAATTTCTCATTGTCATTCGCTTCACTGTAAAGGTACAGTACACAGTATAATGTGAAATCATAAAAACGTCGTACGCTCCAAAAAAAGATTGGAAAAACCTAATGAAAACCTTCGTCGATACATTGGGAATAAACCCTCGCATCTCCCTCTCTACCCAAATTCAGCACTT